CTCCTGAAGAATACGCAGTTGCTCTCCCTCTGGTTCTGTCTCTGGGTATGCGAAGCTGCTTTCTTTCTCCCTGCCCCCAGAAATAACCTTATCCCAAACCTTAATCCGAGATTCAGCCCGAACGCTAACCCTTGTGTAAGCTCTGAGCCTAACCTCAGGCCAAACCCGAACCCTAACCTTCGCCTCAGGCCTAACACAAACCATAACCCTCATCTCCAGCGCTGACTATAACCTCACCTCTAACGCTAGCCTCAGCCCTGCACAAAAGCCCTCAACCATCAAGCCCCCTGTAAATATACCCTCAGAAAACCCTTTCGAAAGTCCGTAAAATGCGGAGCTTACAGTAAATAACCCGTAATACACAGAGCCCCATTTAAACCAATCTTAAAAACAAAGCCCCCTGTAATTATACCCTCAAATACACGAACGCATTTAAATGAACTCTAACACACGTCACCCAGGAAGTAGAAGATAAAACACAGGGCTCCCTCGAAATAAATACGAAAACACTGAGCACTTCTAATTACACCCACACTCAGCCCACCTGCAAATTATCCGTAAGACAGGGCCCCTTACAAATAAACTTTGAAAAGGTAGCCGTACCTATAAATAACAGTCCCCGGTAAATAAACCCGAAGACAGAGACGCCTTTCAGTAACCTGTAAAACACAGATGACTATGAATAATCCCTAAAACACAGAGTATCGTTTACAGATACCCTAAAACACAGACTTCCATGGAAATGAACTCTGAAACTCACAGCCTCCTGTATATATTCTCCGATGCAGAGTCTCATTTGAAAAAATGCTAAAAACAGAGCCCCCTGTAAACACACCCTTAAGCACAGAGACCGCGTTACATATAACTGAAGAAAGCTCCCTCAGGAAATAAACTGTAAAAGACACAGCTCCCAGTAAGAATCCATAAAAGACCGAGTCCCCTGTAAATTAAGTGTAAAATATAGAGCTCCCAGTAAATTAACCCTGAAACATTGCCCCCTGCAAATCCTCCCTAAAACTAAGCCTCCTGTAAATAAACTCTCAGAGGCGACCATAAAACACAGAGCCTCCAACTAAAAAAGCCTAAATCATAAGCCCACTGTAAATCAACACTAAATAACACAGCCCCAAGCACAGCACGGCGAATTGTTCGGATTGAGATAGTACATCATAATCTGAGGCAATGCCTGTTTGACAAAGAGTGAGTAATGGGGAGGTTTTGTGTCGTCTGATGGTCATTGTTGAGGTAGCGCCTCATTGTAATAGGGTCAGAATTGAGGGAGCGCCTCATTGTACTCGGGTCAGGACTGAGGGAGAGCCTCATTGCACGAGGTCAGGACTGAGGGAGAGCCTCATTGTCAGCGGGTCAGGACTGAGGGAGCGCCTCATTGTCAGCGGGTCAGGACTGAGGGAGCGCCTCATTGTCAGCAGGTCAGGACTGAGGGAGAGCCTCATTGTCAGCGTGTCAGGACTGAGGGAGCGCCTTATTGTCAGCGGGTCAGGACTGTGGGAGTGCCTCATTGTCAGCGGGACAGGACTTGGGGAGGGCCTCATTGTCAGCTGGTCAGGACTGAGTGAGCGCCTCATTGTCAGCGGGTCAGGACTGAGGGAGCGTCTCATTGTACTAGGGTCAGGACTGAGGGAGCGCCACATTGTCAGCGGGTCAGGACTGAGGGAGCGCCTCATTGTCAGCAGGTCAGGTCTGGGGGAGAGTCTCATTGTCAGCTGGTCAGGACTGAGGGAGCGCCTCATCGTCAGAGGGTCAGGACGAGGTATTTGAAGAAGGGCAATGAAGGGTTTGGGTCCTTTTATTCTTTTAAAGTTAGAAAATGCCAGCAAGTTATCAACCCTATATGATTTGACTGGGTTGGGAATTACTTAATGACAGCAGAAAGTTTAGTAGCCTGATTACCGTGGCTGGCTCTTGAGATTTCTCTATTGCCGGTTTAGTCATTCTTTCACTCAATTTCACGCAAGCGCTATTTTGAGAGTAGCTTTCTAAAAGGAAAGCGGACCCTATTCAGTATGTATCTAAAAGAGATGTGGCAACGCAGAAAACTTGTTTGATGTCCCGCAAGATATTCAAGTCCTGTGAGACGTTTGTTGAGGGCTGATTCATATTATAATTTTTCATAGTTTCGGGTGACATGATGGATGGGATCGTATTGTTCTGAATAGATTAGAAAATTAACACATACTCAGGGAATGACTCTGATGTAGACACAAGTTTGGACACTGTTCGCAACAAGGATTCAAACTGTGAAAAAGCAGTAATGGGGTGGAAGGAACAATTCAATTTCGTCTCCCTTTATTAGTGAAAAGTACGGCAAGATGGCAGTTTTATGAATGAATGAATGAAATGCGGTAATAGGAAACAAAGTACGCTAATGAGTGGTCAGTAAAGCTATGAATGAATGAGAGCGCGAGAGTGGTCATATGGAGCGCTTGTGGGTGCATCGGTAAAGAGGACCTTTAGTACAACAGTAAAGAGGCTTATGATATACTGTCATACAAAAACCACAGAAAAGGATATTTTAAGGTGATTGACCCTGTATTACGAAAGACATGCCAGTCAGACTCCGGAAGCCTTGTTAAGTGCTAACCGATGTAATTAAACATGGCAGACCACAGGATATTCAAGGGCAAAGGTTATAAGATAAGCAAGAGACAACATGAGCGAACGGGTACCGCGTGTTTGAATCCGACTGGTAAATATGTGATACACAACCATTTGATCTAACTGACTGCCTAGTTAATTGAAAACCGAAGGAACTGCAGATGCTGTAAATCAGGAACAAAAACAAAATTGCTGGAACAGCTCAGCAGGTCTGGCAGCATTTGTAAAGGCCAAAACAGTTAACGTTTCGGGTTTGTGCACAGGGTGCTTTGGTTTTGGATTATTTACGGGGGGCTCTGTTTTCGGGTTTCATTACAGAGGTCTCTGTGTTTTACGGTTTCTAACTGGGTTCTCTGTCTTTTACATTTTACTTCCCAAGGGACCTTTCTTAGGTTATATTTAAAGGGGTCTCTGTGCTTGAGTGCATTTAAAGCGGGCTCAATTTCGCGTTTGTTTAAACGAGATTCAGCGTCGGAGATTGCGCACAGAAGGCTTTGTGTTTCACGGTTCATTTACAGGGATGTCTATGTTTCAGGAATTATTTATAGCGAACTCCGTGTTTTACAATTAATTGAAAGGGGTCTCTGTCTTCGGGTTTCTGTACTGGAGGCTCGATGTCTTTGGTTAGGAGTAGGGCTGAAGCGAGGTTCTGTTTAGGACTAAGGCTATGGTTGGTGTAGGGATAAGTTTGCGTTATAGGGCTGAGGGGAGGTGTTAGGGCTAAGGCTAGTGTTAGAGGTAAGGTTAGGATCAGCGTTGGGACTGAGGGTTATGGTTTGGGTTAGGCCTGTGGTTAGGATTTGGGCTGAGGTTGGACTTAGGGCTCACATGAGGGTTAGCGTTCGGGCTGAATCTAGGGTTAGGGTTACGGCCAGCTTTATTTCTGAGGGTAGTATGGAAGAAAGCAGCTTCGCATACCCAGAGGCAGAGCGAGAGGGAGAGCAAATGCGTATTCTACAGGAGACACGGGAAGTATTGTAAACTTAACAGGTCAAATAATATTACAGATTAGTTTACAATTAAAGATTATTGTCCTGAGGGAATGCCTCACTGTCAGAGGGTCTGCCTGAGGCTGTCCCACTTTGTTGTAGGTCAGTCCTGAAGGAGTGCAACATTGTCAGAGGATGAAATTCAAAACTTTACCATTTACTGTATAAATCCTACCTTGGTTTGACATTCCAAAGTGCACACCTGTATCTGTATACAATTGTATTTACAAATCCTCAGCCCACTTCCCCATCTGGTCGAGAAGCCTCTGTAAATTTTGATAACCTTCTTTGCTATCAATGACATCACCTACTTTTGCATTATCCACAAACTTACTCATCATGCCTTGTACATTCACATCCAGATGAGTCACATATGTAACAAATAAAAAAGGTCCCAGCACTGACCCCTGTGGCACACAACTGCTGCAATACCTCCAGTGTGGACCCTCTGACAATGAGGCACTTCTTCAGTAGTGAAGCTCTGACAGTACTGACTATCTGATAATCAAGCACTCCCTCAGTCTGACATTCTCACAGTGCTGCAATCTTGTAGCACTCCAACAAGTCCGACCTCTTTAGAATGAGACACTGCCTCAAGATTAACCCTCTCACAATAATGCACCCAACAGTTCTGACCCTCTGGTGGTGCTGCATTACCTCAATACAGTCCCTATACATGTGAGGCACTTCCTCAGTTCTCACCCGCTAACAATGAGGCACGACCTCATTACTGACTCTCTGACTCTGCAGCAGTTCTATCCCTCTGACAGTGCTTCAGTACTGACCTGGAACAGCTAACAGGGTCTAATTTTCCTCATTGATAGTAGGAACTGCAGGTGCTGGAGAATCTGAGATAACAAGCTGTAGAGCTGGATGAACACAGCAGTCCAAGCAGCGGAGGAGCAGGAAGGCTGAAGTTTCGGGCCCAGACCCCTCTTCAGAAATGGGGGAGGGGAAGGAGGTTCTGAAATAAATCGGGAGAGAGGTGGAGGTGGATAGAAAATGGATAGAGGCGAAGATAGGTGGATAGGAAACAGACAGGTCAAAGATGCGAGGATGGAGCCAGTAAAGGTTAGTGTAGGTAGGGAGTTAGGGAGGAGATAGGTTCGTCCAGGGAGGACGGACAGGTCAAGGGGGCGGGATGAGGTTAGTAGGTAGGAAACGGGGGTGGCGCTTGAAGTGGGAGGAGAGGATAGGTGGGAGGATTAACTGATTAGGGTTGCGAGAACGAGCTGGACTGGTTTAATGGATGCAGTAGCGGGAGGGGAGATTTTCAAGCTTGTGAAGTCCACATTGATATCATTGGGCTGCAGGGTTCACAAGGGAAATATGAGTTGTTGTTCCAGCAACCTTCGGGTGGCATCATTGTGCCACTGCAGGAGGCCCAGGATGGACATGTCGTTTCAGGAATGGGAGGGGATGGCATTATTGCAGGAAGGTGGGTGGGAGGAGGTGTATTCTAGGTAGCTGTGGGAGTCGCTGGGCTTGAAATGGATATCAGTTTCCAGGTGGTTGCCAGAGATGGAAACAGAGAGGTCCAGGAACTGGAGAGAGGTATTAGAGATGGTCCAGGTGAACTTAAGGTTGGGGTGGAAGATGTTGGTGAAGTGGATGTACTGTTCGAGCTCCTCGTGGGAACACGAGGCGGCGCTGATAAAGTCATTCTTGCAAGTGAAGAAGAGGTGGGGTTTAGGGCCAGTGTGGCTACGGAAGCGGGATTGTTTCACGTAACCGACAAAGAGGCAGTCATAGCTTTAGCCCATGCGGGTATCCATGGCCGCCCCCTTTGTCTGTAGGAAGTGGGAGGAACTGAAATAGAAATTGTTGATGGTGAGGAAGAGTTTGGCTGAGCGGATGAGGGTGTCAGTGGAGGGGGACTGGTCGGGCCTGAGGGACAGGAAGAAGGGAAGATGGCCTTTAGGCCATCTGTTTGGGGAATGCAGGTGTATAGGGACTGGACGTCCATGGGAAAGATTAGGTGTTGGGGACCGGGGAATTGGAAGTTCTGGAGGAGATGGAGGGCGTGGGTGGTGTCAAGGACGTAGGTAGGGTGTTCCTGGACCAAGGGGGAGAAAATGGAGTCAAGATAGGTGGAGATCAGTTCGGTGGGGCAGGAGCAGGCGGAGACAATGGGTCGACCAGGGCAGTCAGGTTTGATGGAAAAGCTCAGCAGGTCTGGCAACATCTGTGAACTGGAAAATAGAGTTAACGTTTCAGGTCCGGAAGCACTTTCTCAGAACTTCAGTACACTGCCGACACTGAGGTGCTAGCTCACTCCAACACTCTCAGTGCTACAATGACCCAGATTTGATCCTCTATTCGCGTGGCACTCCCTCAAGACTGATCCTGTAATCGTGTGGCGCTGCCTCAGTAATGACCGTTAGACAGCACTGCGCATCCGCATTATGACTGTGTGACAAACAGGCACTGCCTCAGATCTGATTTGCTGACTATGAGTTACTATCTGAATCTGACTATCTCGCAGTGGTTTGCTGGGTTCTCTGTTATTTAGTGTTCATTTACAGTGGGCCTTGTGTTTTAGCTTTCATTAACTGGAGGCTCTGTGTTTTAGGGTTTTTTTTTGCAGTCGTCTGTTTGAGTGTTTAGGGGGATTTTAGGGAGGATTTATAGGGTTTATTTACAGGTAGCTCTATAATTTACACTTTATTTACAGCGGGCTCTGACTTTTATTGTTTCTTTACTGGGTGTAGTCCCGGCCCCAGCCTCCATCCCCAGCCTGTCCCAGCCCCGCCCCCAGCACGTGGAACTGACCCTAACCCCGGCCCGCAGCCTGTCCCGGCTCTCGGCCCTAACCACAGAATGTTCCGGACCTGTCTGCCGCCCCCAGCCCACGACACGAATCCCAGCCTGTCCTGGCCCGGAACCCAAGACCCCAACACCACCCCCACCCTCGCCTGTCCCGGCCCCAAACCTAAACAAAAACTAAGCCCCAATCCTAACCCTAAACCTGGCCCCTGACCCCAGACCCGAAGCTTCAGCCCCCAGCCGAATCCCAGCCAAGAGCCTGTCACAGCCCCGCCCCGGCCCGGCCCAAGCCAATCCGGGCCCCAGCACAGACCATCACCGTAAACCTAGCCTTAGACTCAGCCCTCCGACCCCAGCCCCAAAACTAACCGAAACCTTCGCCCCAACCTGGACCCTGACTCTAAACCCGCCCCCAGACACCAAGCCCGTCCTGGACCAGACCGGCCCGACCCAATCCAGGGCCCCAGACCAGACCATCACCGTAAAACTAGCCTTACACTCGGCTCTACGCACCGGGCGCAGACCCCAGCCTTCAGCCCCTGTCCCAGCCGTAACTCTGAACCCGGCGCCAGACCCCAGCCACCAGCCTGTCGCAGTCCCGACCCGGCCACAGCTTGTCACCAACACCAACCCTAACCCCAGACTGTCCTGGCAGCGGCCCCCCGTCCTCAACCCAAACCCTAACCCCAGACTGTCCCGGCCACAGCCACCAGACACTGACCCGAGCCCCCAGCCCTCGGCCCGAAGCCTGTCGCGGCCCCGGTCCAGGCAGCCAGCCCCGACACTACCCCATACTGCCCAGATGCCAGCGACCTAGATCCAAACCAAGACCCAGCCATCAGCGCCCAACAGCTAAACACTTCTCTGCAGCCTGTCGCAGCCCTGACACAGACACTAACCCCAAGCCCGGCTGTAAGCCTGGCCTCTTCCCCGAACCCGATCCCAACCGGGTTCAGGTCCAAGCACCCAGCTAGCAGCCCCGACCCTAACTCCTGCCTGTCCCAGACCCGAGCCCCGACCTAACTCTAACCCCAGCCCCAGCCTGGCCCGGCCCCCGTCCTTCGCCCTAATCGCAGTCTGTCCCTCTCTTGGCCCCGACTGTCCTGTGCCCCGGCCCTCGGCCATCCCACAACCCCCTCCCACCTCCCCCACTATCCCGACTGAGCTTGTCCTGGTCCTGGTCACAGCCGCCAACTACAGCTTCAACCCTGAACTCAATTCTGACCCTAGCTTCAGTACTAACACTAACCCTCGCACCACCCTGACCCTCATCTGTCCTTAACCCTAACCTATCTGAAGGTAACTACTGAGGAAGTGCCTCAATGGTCAATATTCACGCAGTGCCACAATGGAAATGGGTCAGAATTGACAGCCTCATTGTCAGAGGGTCAGTGACGTTGCTTCACAGTAGTGTCACTGCTGAGGGACTGTCTCACTGTTAGAGAGTCTAGTGGGGTACACAGTCTCAATATAATGGGGTGAGAAATAAGGGAGGGCAACACGTTTGCAGGACCTGTACTGAGATAGTCTAGTACAGACAGAGGGTGAGGATTGATCGACGGACTCTGGGTGACGGGATCAGAACTGTGGGATGGCTCCATGATTAGCAGGTCAGCACTGAGCTATTGAAACACTGTCACAGCATCAATACAGATGCAGTGCTTCTTTCGAAAGGTGTCCGAATTGAAGGGACACCACACAATTAGAGGGTCATGACTGTGATATTATGATCAGCGGCACAGTACTAAGGGACTGCCTTATTGTCAGTGTGTCAGTTCTGAGGCATTGTTCATTTGTCAGAGGGTTCGTCGTGTGGGAATGACTCATTGTCAGAGTTTGTGTTCTGAGGCAGTTCCTCAGTGTAACGGTGTGGGAATTGAGGGTTTGCTACACAGGGAGGGTCAGTGCTAAGGTATTGCAGCTGTATCAGAGGATTAGTGCTGAGGCAGTGCCTCACGATAAAGGCATCAAAACTGAGGCAGTGCGAAACGATTACAGGGTCACTAAGACATTACAGCACTGTGACAGTGTCAGAACTGATGGACTGTTTCATTGTCAGAGGGGCATTACTGAGGGATTGAAGCATTGTCAGAGGGGCATTACTGAGGGATTGAAGCACTGTCAGAGCTTCAATACAGAGGGAGTGCTTCATTTTCAGAGGGGCAGTACTGCAGTACTGCATTACTGACAGACAGAGCCAGTTCCGAAATATGCAGGGGTCATAACTGGGGCAGTGCCTCATTGTAAGGGCATCAGAATTGAGGGCGTTCGCACATTTACAGGGTCAGTCCTGAGGAAGGGCTTCATTATTATTGTGTCAGTAATAGGGCACTGGCATATTGTCAGCTGGTCAGTACTGAGACAGAGTCGCTTTGTCAGTGTGTCAGCACTGAGGCTGTGCTTCAATGTAATGGTGTCAGAATGGAGGGTTTGCCACAGACTGACGGTAAGTACTGAGGTATTTCAGCTCGATCAGGATCAGAACCCAGGCAGTACCTCATTAGCAAAAGATCAATTCTGCAGCATTGAGAGAGGGTCAGACTGAAGGAGTGCCTCCTTGTCAGATGATCAGTTCTGACATACTGCTCCTTTGTCAGAGGGTCATTGGTGAGGCAGTACCTCGTTGTAATGGGATCAGAATTGTCAGGGGGCCAGTACTGATCGAGAGACTCATGATCAGAGGTCAATACTGAGAGAGTCTCTTATCAGAGATTCATTCCGAAGGGTGTGCTTCATCGTCAAAGAGTCCATTCTGAGGGAGGACATCATGTGAGAATACTGAGGGAGATCCTTATTCTCAGACGTGAAATGCAGGGTTACAGGGATAGGTTAAGGGGATTTTTCAGATGCGCTTAGGAGGGTTAGTGTGGACAGGGCTTACTGTCCTGTTTTACACTGTGGGGATTCTATGATTCTGATGAGAGGATCAGTACTGAGTCATTTCAGCACTGTTGCAGGGTAAGATCAGTGGAAATGCATAATTGTCAGAGGGTCAATACTGAGGCTGAGACAGAGCCAGGGAACTGTAGACCAGTGAGCCTCTGGACTGACATTCCAGTCCAACCTCAGAACTGATCCTCTGACAGAGCTGCACTTCCTCAGTACTGACTCTGTAATCGTGAGGCACACCCTTAATCCTGAACCAATTCCAATGAGGTACTTCCACAATATTGACCCTCTGACAATGAGGTACTCTCTCAGTACTGACCCAGTGACCATAATGCACTCCCACAGTTGTGACGCTATGGCAACGAGTTCTGAAGTCATACGACACCAGGTTATAGTCCATCAGGTTTATTTGAAAACACAAGCTTTTGGAGCCTCACTCCCCCTCCAGTCCAACATCGACACCTCCACATCACGGCAATGAGATCTGACAGTACTTCCATTCCTTCGGGCGAAACCGCTAATCATGTGGCCCTCCATCCATTCTGATCCGATTACATTTTGGCGCTCCTTCAGAATGGACACTTCGTACTCACCCACCGACAGTGCTGACTACATATACTGACTGTCTAAAATGTGAGCCCTCCTTTGATTCTGACTCTCACAATGAGTTACTTGCTCAGAACAATGCTCTGACAGTGAAGCAATTCCTCCAAACAGACCTGCTAACAACGAGGCACTCCCTCAGGACTAACCTCCTGATAGATCTGCAATACCTCCGTACTGATCAACTAAACGTGTGCAAAACCTACAATTCTTACCCTCTTACAATGAGACAGTGCCTCAGTAATGACCCTCTGACAATGAGGCAATGCCTCAGACCTGACCCACTTAGAGTGCTGCACCACCACAGAACTGACCATCTAAGCATGTGGCACACTCCGATCTGACCCCCTTACAATCAGGTAATGCCTCTGTATTGACCCTCTGACAATGATGCACACCCTCTGTACTGTACCTTTGACAAACAGGCACTGACTCAGTAATGACTCCCGACGATGAGGCATTCTGTCGGGACTGAACATACGATATTAAGGCACCTGCTCAGTACTGACCATATGATAAGGAAGCATTCCCACAGTTCTAAACTACTGAGAGTGCTGCAATACCTCAGGACTGACCCTCACATCATGTGACACTGCCTCAGTCCTGACCCTCTGACAATAATGCACTCCCACAGTTCTGACGCTCTGACAATGAGGCATTCATTCAATATTTACACTGTGATAGACCTGCAAAATCTCGGTACTGGATGTCAAATCAAGAGACACATCCTCAATTCTAACCCTGTTACAATGAGGTACTGCTTCAGTGTTGACCGTCTGCATCTGTGTCATTTTAAACCCAATGGTATCGGTCTTCGGAGATTCCACAAAGCATTATGAAGTCAAAGTAATCCTTTGAAAGATGGTTAAGCAGGAGCAGTGCTGTTTTATTGGTGTTTGTAACAAAATTTCAGGTAATTTTTGGATACACCAAATCGTAAAATTACAGAAGGGGAAGGAGGCCATTTGGCCCATCATACTGAGTTGTCTCTGTCATTTCACACGAATCCTTTTCCGCCGATCACATGCACACCATTTTCATCCAATGCCCTCTGTCCGTCTCCATTGAAACTCATTCATCACATTTACAGCAGTGCACTCCATAACCTAACTACACACTGTGTGAGAAAACTCTTCGAAGTGCAGGGCCATATTCTCCCTGTCGACTCTGTTTAGCCCACTCGCGATTTCAAAAAACCCCAATTCTATCTCCTCTCAGCCTGCTGTTGAGAGAGAACAGTCCCAAACTCTTCAATCTATTCTTGTAGCTGAAGGTTTTCCGACCTGGAACCATTCTAGTAATAATCAGCACATCAGTGAATTTGACTTTTACCTATAATGTGCAGGCCACAACTGTGCACAATACTCCAGCTGAGATTTAACTTACCTTGCAGAAGTTCAATATCATCAACTTCTTACTCGTATACTCTATACCCCTATGAATAAAGGCTGTATGCTTTATTTATTGCTCTCTCCAGCTGTACTGCTACCATCAGTTCAACTGTGCACGTCCATACTCCTATTTCACATTGGTAGGAAAAACACTTGAAAGACAAAGTGCATCACCTTACAGTTCTCTGCATTGTACCTCATCTTCCACCTATCTGCCCACTCCATCAACTTTTCAATGCACTTTTGGAGTTCCACTCTATTCTTCTCACAATTTACAATTCTCAAGTTTAATGGCATCTGCAAACTTGAAAATTGTCCCCTGCACACCACGATCAAGATAATTAATTATCTATCAGGAACGACAAACGTCCCAGAAGCAGCCCCTGGAGAATTCCACTACAAACCTGCTTCCCAGCCTGAAAAATATCCATTCACCATTATTGAAATATTGGACTGGACAAAGAGGAAGGCATTCTTTCTTTGAATAATGCCACAGGCTTTTTAATATCCATTTCTGAATCTCATTGCATCATATATCCAGCAACGCAGCAATTCCTTGATAGTGTCAGACGAGATCATACTCTGTAATAACCAGATGACACATAAGTCCACAATTGCCAAGCATCTGAAGCATGAACGCAACCTTCTGGGCCTCAGAAATGCCAAGTGGAAGTGCTTTGTCTGGACAGTCTTTTATCAAATCCTTCAGCCATCAGAGCAGCTGTCTCCAGGGCTGGAATGTCTTCACAAAATTAATGTTTTTGCAGGGTTACCGGGAAAGAGAAGGGAAGTGTTCAAAGGACTGCAGTCAAAGTAGGTTTGAGAGCCTTGATTCTATGGTTTGACAAAGTTCGCATAGTAGACTGGTTAACAAGGTTAGGTCACATGGAATACAGGGAGAACGAGCCATCTGGATACAAAAATTGACTAGGAG